ACAGCCCAAGTGCCCATCAGTAGATGAGTGGATAAAAAAGTTGTGGTACATTTATACCATGAATACTACATGGCTGTGAAAAAGAAGGAACTCTTACGTTTGCAACAGCATGGATGCACCTGGAGATTATTACACTAAGTTTAAAACGCCAGTCAGAAAAAGGCAAATACCATATGGTCTCACTTATATGTGGAATCGAATGAACAAAATAGAGTCAGAGGCATGGATACATGGAACAGACTGACTAATGTGAGAGGGAAGTGGCGGGGGGGGGGGGGGGGGGGGGGGGGGGATAAAGGAAGATTAAGGGATTAGCTAAAGCACATAAATGCATAGTGCATGGACACAGACAGTAGAGTGGTGAGGGCCAAGGGAGGGAGGGTGGCCCCCTTAGTGAAGGTGGCAAAGTGGGGGGAAATGGGAACACCTGCAATAGTGTCAACAACAACAAAAGTTGGTTGTGGACTTCCATCTCCCTTCCCCTGAAATAGTCCAGCCTGCAGAACGTGAACTGAAGTCCAATGTTTGTCTGCCACTCTCCTCACTTTTTTTTCCTTTTGAGTAAAATGACATAGAATGAAATGCACAAATCCCAAGAGTGTGTTTTTTGTTTTTGTTTGTTTTTAGCTTTTAAAAATCGATTTTAGAGAGAGAGGAGGGAAGAGAGAGAGAGAGAGAGAAACATTGATGAGAGAGACACATCGATCGGCTGCCTCCTGCACACTCCCCCACTGGGGACTGAGCCCACAACTGGGAATTGAATCGTGACCTCTTGGTTCATGAGTCAACACTCAACCACTGAGCCACCAGCTGGACCTCTCTGAGCTTTTACAAATGCATTCACCTTGTAATTCAAATGTCTATCGAGATCGCAGAACATTTCCATCACTCCAGAAAGTTCTTTCATGGCCACTGTGCCACACTTCTCCCAGCTCGCATCGTTGTGCCTGTTCTAGAACTTCACATAAATGGCTCCTAGCGTCTACACCACTTTGTGAATGGTTGTTCCCACTCAGCCTAAGTATTTTCAGAATCCTCCGTGTCCCGAGATCCTGACCTCTTGTTCTCTGTTGCTTGCCATGCCTGATGATAATAATCTAATAAGCACTAGAGAAATGTTTGTGGATAAGAAAGTAATTGTATTGAATGAATGCAAATTATTTCATTGCATAAATGAATGAATGAAATGGCTTCTTGTTCCCAGGAGACTTGATCTCGCTCCTTCTATCCAGCTTCTCTTGCCAACCTCCTTAGTCATGATTCAGGGGCTATAGATCCAAAGCGCAGAGACACCCCCCGCACCACCACCACCTCTTGTTTCCCAAGTCCCACAGTCTTCCCATGACAACACATGTTGTCAGGTACATATCATCCCCAGCTTCCTACCTTCCCCATTATCTGCTTCAACCTCCAGCTGTATTTCCTTCCCTCCTGCCTCCTCTAGATAGACCCCACCTCAACCTGGCTCTAGAGCTGCTGAAATGTCTCCTGGGTCAAAAGTGCCCTCCCCGAGCAGTCAGAGCCCCGAGACATTGCTGATGGGGTGCAAAATGGTGCAACCACTTTGGAAAAACGGTTTGACAGTTTCTTATAAAAGTTAAACACTCATCTACTATCTGACTCACTGCCAGGTATTTACCCAAGAAAAGTGAAAACTTAAAGCCATAAAAAGATCTGTACAAGAATGTTCACAGCAGCTTAATTCATAGTAACTTACATGGGAAACAATGCAAGCATCAGTCAACAGGTGAATGGACACACAGACAGTGTAGATAAACCTCAAAGATATTATGCCTAGAGAACGAATCACAACATATGGCGATTCAATTTAAAGGACATTTGAGGAAAGACAAGTCTAGGCAACAGTGGTGCAAGCAGATCCCGGTGGCCTGGGGCAGGGGTGGGGAAGGGACTTGAGGGGATGATGGAAATGCTCTGTATCTGGAATGTAATGGTGACTACACAGCTGTATACTTTTCTCAAAACTCTGACTTGGAGCTTGAAATGGGTGCATTTTTAAAACATTTAAATTGTGGTATAAAATACGCATAATATAAAATTTGCATCTTAACCATTTTTAAGTAGATAGTTCAGGCCCTGGCCTGTGTTGCTCAGTGATTAGCAGTGATGGCGAACCTTTTGAGCTCGGCGTGTCAGCATTTTGAAAAACCCTAACTTAACTCTGGTGCCGTGTCACATATAGAAATTTTTTGATATTTGCAACCATAGTAAAACAAAGACATATTTTTGATATTTATTTTATATATTTAAATGCCATTTAACAAAGAAAAATCAACCAAAAAAATGAGTTCGCGTGTCACCTCTGACACGCGTGTCATAGGTTCGCCATCACTGGATTAGAGTGTCATCACGTACACCAAAGGGTTAGGTTTGATTCCCAGTCAGGGAACATACCCAGGTTGTAGGTTCGATCTCTGGTCGTGTTAAATATATTCACACTGCTGAGCGACCAATCTAGAAGTTTTTTTATCTTGCAAAACTGAAGCTCTATCCTCATTAAATAACTCCCCACTCCTCCCACCCCACAGGTCCTGGCACCCACCATTCTGCCTTTTATTTCTATGAGTTTGACTACTCTAGGTACGTCAAGTAAGTGAAATAATACAGTGCTTGTCCTTTTATTGCTGGTTTATTTCATATAGCAACAGAGACTGGGCAGATGTGATTAAGGATTTAGAGATGGGGATGTTACATGTTAAAGAATTTGATTGGTTTTTGTCCGTTTTTTGCCAAGGTGCACTAAACCCTTGGGATTTCTCAAGTGATAGGAATGTCTTTGATCTTCATGGGGACCCATTGGCTCATACCTGAGTTTATAGCAAGGAGATGGCTCAGGGTGGGGGTTGGTCATGCCAGAAAGACCAACCAGGAGGGGTGGGGCTTTCAGACACCCAACCTCCAGGGAGGTGATGGAGGTGGAGATGGAGTGCAATCACATGACCAATGATTCCATTAATCACCTTCATAATGAAGCCCCAATACAAACTCTGGACACCAGTGCCAGGATGGTGATCTGTCCTGAGAACATGGGAGTTCTATGTTTGAGACCCTCCCAGCCCTCACTCTATGTGTCTCTTCATTTGGCTAGTCTGAATTTGTGTTTCTTATAATAAAACTGTAAGTCTAGAGCTTTCTTGAGTTCTGAGCCATTCTAGCAAATTATAGAACTAATTTGGAGGGGATTGTGAGATCCTCTGAATTTGTATCAGTTGGTAAGAATCAATTGGGCCCTAACCGGTTTGGCTCAGTGGATAGCGCGTCAGCCTGAAGACTGAAGGGTCCCAGGTTCGATTCCAGTCAAGGGCATGTACCTTGGTTGCAGGCACATCCCCAGAAGGGGGTGTGCAGGAGGCAGCTGATCGATGTCTCTCTCTCATCAATATTTCTGACTCTCTATCCCTCTCTCTCCTTCTCTGTAAAAAATCAATAAAATATATTTTTTCAAAAAGAATCAATTGGTCAGAAGTGTGGGTGGCCCACGTACCCCCAAACTGTAGTTAGGGCAGTCTTGTTAGGAATGGTGCCCTTAATCTGTGGGTGCTGTCTATACTAGCTTGGGTGGTTAGTGCCACAATTGCATTACAGGAAACCATCCTGGATTATAAGGCTGGGCCTAAAAGTGCAATCACAAGTGTCCTTATAAGAGGGAAGCAGAGGGATATTGACCCAGAGAAGGCAAGGGGACCACTAAAGCAAGGTGCTGCCCTATTGGCTTTGAGATGGAAGAAGAGGCCATGAGCCAGAACATGTGAGAGATGCAGCTATAGAAGCCGGAAGACAAGGACACAGATTCTCCTTGGAGCTTCCGGAGGGAGGCTGACCCTGGGGACACCCTGATTTGGGCTCAGTGAAACTAATTTTGGGCTTCTGACCTCCAGAACGTGCTGTCTTAATCCATCAAGTGGTGGTCATTTGTTACAGCAACCTTAGGAAACACACACAGGCCTCCGAGCTGACCATCTGAAAACCTATCCGTCTGGCTGACAGTCCACTCGGGAGGCTATCTGTCCAGGAGTCAGGCGGCGCCTGGGGCTGGCCAGGGCCTTGCTCTGAGCTGTAGTTGTAGAGGCCAGAGAAGGGTCGGGGGGCTGGCTGGTTACACCACGGAAAGGCTTCACCTGGCCAGGCTGTCTGGGTGTTATTCTCTCCTCTTCCAGCTCAGTCGATGCTCTCAGGGTGGGGCATCCGAGGGCTCAAGCAGCGTTGGACTTGAACTCAGTTCTACACAGACGTAAAGGCTGCTAGCCTGTCACACCCCTTAGACCTGTCTCCATTGGAAATTCCAGGAGAGCCCCCAGCCCCCAAGACAGGGGCAGGAAACTGGGAGTACAGAGTGAATTCAGAGACAGAGTTGCTGTGTTTGGGGGGCACCCTGCACCCCCCAAATGTGTTCAGCCATCCTTAACGCCTTCCCACACTCTCCACCCGCAAGACGTTCCCTTCCCAGCTCCACGTGCTGAAATCTCATTCTTCCTCGAAAGTCCATCTTCTCTGGGATGTATTTTCTGATCGCTCCACCCAGTGGTCACGGAACCTAAGTGCCCTGGACATAAGGGACCTACACCTGCCCCGGGCCTTGTGTCAGGAGCCTGAAATCTCCAAGGACAGGGGCCACCCCTTCGGTGTTCCAGCACAGCCCCTCTCCCCGGGACACAGGTGGCTCCTTCCAGTGCGTCATTGTCACTCATTCGAGCATTCCTCCATTGAGTCACTGGTCAGACTGCTCCTGTGCCCAGGGGCAGTGGAATGAGCCAGCCTGGGTGGGGGGGGGGGGGGGGGGAGGGGTGAGGGTTAAGGACTGGGTCTGACTCACTCCCATGTCCCCAGGGCCCCACACCGGGCCTGGCCCAGTGCGGAATACTCACTGGGTCTGGGAGCATCATAGAGCCATGAGGTCACTCGGGGAGGTTGGGGTCCCTCACAGGTATCATGTCGGGGTCTCTGGCATAAAGCTTAGAAGAGCTCCCCAGAGCCAGGAGCGAAGATTTATATCTCAGACATTTATTGATGCTCCTTAGGGCTTCAAGGGCAGTTCATAAAACCCCTGTGTTTGAGGCCTCCCAGTCTAAGAAAAAATGCAAGGAAACAGCTCCATCTTCCAGGCACCTGGTCTTGGCTAGATAGGGAGGTGGGGTCTAATCGGGGCCCAGGAGCCAGGGTTCCGGCAGAGGTGGAGGCTAAAGTTATGTTCGTGCGGGAGGGCTAGTGGTCAGGGCGGAGAGGAGGTCCCAGAGCACATGCACTGCACTCCGCTGAGTGGGTGGGTAGTTCTTAGTGGTAGTGGGGGCGGCGGTGTGGGCGCGGGGAGGGGGACCCGATGGTGGCGGGCAAAGCCGGGAAGGTGAGTAGCTGGAGCCATCGCAGCGGAGGGTGTGGCTCGGGGGCACTGGTGGGCTCAGCAGTTGAGCCTCTTCTCGCAGATCCAGCTGTCCTTCTCGTTGTGGCAAGGGGCATCGTTCCACAGCCCCGTGTGCAGCATCATGACGCAGTCCTCGCGCCCTTGAGCGTCATTGGGCTCCCCCAGGTTCCAGTGGCTGCAGCGGTTTGGCGGGGATGTTGCTGGGGTCTAGGCTGAGGATGTCCCTGGGGTCCAGCCTTCAGGGTCCAGCCTGTTCATTGCTCGGGTCTCCTCTAGACACCCTGGGGGTCTAACTTAAGCACGCACCGGGGATATAACTTTCTAACGCCCAGAATTTGTCCCTCAGCCAGCGCCTGACGGCTAGACTGCCCGTCCCTAAGGGGCTCCCGAGAGCTGCCCAGAGGACTGCCGCGGGGTCTGGCCTGCCCCTGGCCAAGCCCCTTCCCTCACCTGAAGCCGAGCGGGACTCCGTCCACCCACTGGTAGCCCTGGATCTTGCGGGAGCGGCGCACGGCCCTCAGGCCCAGCCAGTAGCCTCGGCCGCGTGTGTTCCGGGACAGGAAGCCCTGGATGGAAGCGGAGACTGAGCTCGCGCGTCCAGCCGGTCAGCTCGCACCTCCCGGGCTCGCCCCCGGGTGAACCCCGCCTCCGCCTCCGCCTCGCCGCCGCGCACCTGCTCATCCAGGTCCCCCACGATCGCCAGGTGCGCGCCCGCGCCCGCGCAGTTGCGCTGCGAATCTTCCCACGTGGCCCGCAGCTCCGAGAACAGGTAGCAGGAGCCCCGAAAGGGCAGCCACGGCGTGGGGCACGGCTGGCAGGAGCCTGTGGGTGCACCGGTCAGGGAGGTAGACTGCTCCCAGGTGGAGCAGATGAAGGCGTTTGGGGGGCGCAGGTGCAGAACCATCGCGAACAGGTCAAGGTCAACGGGCGGATCCGGGTGGATCAGGGAACCACGGGGCCCACGGGTAGGGCCCCCTGCCCCGCCCCCACCCCGTGCTGCTCACTGTTTCCAACTCGGACGGCTTCCAACGCCCGGAACAGCTCACTGCGGATGCCCTCGCGGTCCCTTCCCGCCTCGGCCAAGCTCTGGGTCACTGCGAGGTCAAGGGAGTCCAGATTACCGCCGGGGTTAGTGTCAGGTGTCGCTGCGATTAGGCCAGGGCAGCACCGAGTGGCACGGTCAAGGGTGTCACGGTCAAGGACTGCTAGCGCTAGTGTGTCCCCTGTGGCGGCGTTAGGACTCGTAGTCAAGGGCAGAGCCCAGGGTCAGGGTCAGGATGGGAGACGCGATCGGGGTTAGAGGTCAGGATCACAGGACAGGGTTGGGTCGCGGAGGGATCCGGATGTAGATAAAGGTGGGGTTGGATGTGCGGGTCCCGCCCTCACCGCGCTCGCTCAGCTCCCTCAGGGCGCTCTCCTGCTGCAGCAGCTTCACCTGCGCCTCCCGCAGCTCGGCGCCCGCGCTCTTCTGCTGCTCCTGGGTCCCCAGGC